AGTTTAGCCAGGTTGTTAAAACCAGATATCAAAATCCAGCTAAGTTGAGGAATATTTCATTAACCGCAGGTTGTAGTATCAACAGGAAAAACACCAAGTAGGATTAATGGCCTGGGCCAGGGACATGGAATTTGGGACAAAGCTATAGCAGCGCCTTTGCCCGGGTATGGGCTTAGGGGTGGGGCTAGGGCTGGGCCTGGGGCTGGGGCCAGGGCTGGTGTTGGAGTTGGGCCTGGGGATTAATCACTAAGTTTGGCCAGGGTGTTAAAACCAGGTATCTAAATTCAACTAAATGAAGGAATATTTCAGTAATTACAGGTTGTGTTATGAACAGGGAAAACAACCAGTACAATTAAGGGCCAGGGCCAGGGACATGGAGTTGGGGAGAATGCTATATACCGGGGTCTGGGCCGGGGAAAGGGCTTAGGGCTGGGGCTGGGACTGGTTTTAGAGCTGGGGCTGGGGCTGGGGTTGGGGCTGGGGTTGGGGCTGGGGTTAGGGCTGGGGCTGGGGCTAGGTCTGGGGCTTGGGCTGGGGTTGGGGCTGGGGCTGGGATTGGGGCTTGTTCTGGGGCTAGAGCTGAGCCTGTGGCTGTGGCTATGGCTGTGGCTGTGGCTGTGGCTGGATTTGGCGCTGGTGCTAGGCCTGGTGTTTAATCAGTAAGTTTGTCCAGGTTATTAAAACCAGGTATCCAAATCCAGCTAAGTTAAGGAGTATTTCAGGAACCCCAGGTTGTGATATCAACAGGGAAAACACCCAGTAGGTTCAATGGCCTGGGTCAGAGACTTGGAGTTCGGGATAAACCTATAGCTATGCCTTGGCATGGGCATGGTCTTAGAGCTGGGACTGGAGCTCAGGCTGGGGCTGGGGCTGGTTTTGGGGCTCGGTCTGGGGCTGGGGCTGGGGCTGGGGCTGGAGCTGGGGCTAGGCCTGGGGTTTAATCAGTAAGTTTGGCCAGGTTGTTAAAACCAGATATCGAAATCCAGCTAAGTTAAGGAATATTTCTATAACCCCAGATTGTGATATCAACAGGAAAAACACCCAGTAGGATTAAGGGCCTGGTTCAGGGACATGGAGTTTGAAAGAAACCTATAGCTGGGCCTGGGCATGGGATTAGGGCTAGGGCTGGGGCTGGGGTTGGGGCTGGGGTATAATCACTGAGTTATCCAGGTTTTGAAAACCAGGTATCAAAATCCAGTGAAGTTAAGGAATATTTCAGTAACCCCGGGTTTTGACATCAACAGGGAAAATACCCAGTAGGATTAAGGGCCTGGGCCAGGGACATGGAGTTGCGGAGAAAGCTATAGCTGTGCCTTGGCAGGGGCATGGGCTTAGAGCTAGGGCTGGCGCTCGGGCTGGGGCTAGTGCCGGAGCTGTGTTTGGGGCGGGGCTGTGTCTGGGGCTGGGACTGGGGCTAGGCCTAGGGTTTAATCAGTAAGTTTGTCCAGGTGGTTAAAACCAGGTATGGAAATCCATCTAAGTTAAGGAGTATTTCTGTAACCCCAGGTTGTGATATCAACAGGGAAAACAACCAGTAGGATTAAGGGCCTGGTCCAGAGACATGGAGTTTGAAAGAAAGCTATAGCTGGGCCTGGGCCTGGGCCTCAGCATGGGCTTATAGCTGGGGCTGGCGTCGGGCTGGGGTTGGAGTATAATCAGTGCGTTTAACCAGGTTGTTAAAACCAGGTATCAAAACCAGCTCAATAACGGACTATTTTAGTAACTTCAAGTAGAGAAATCTAGAGGGAAAACACCCAGTAGGATTAAGGGCCTAGACCAGGGACATGGGGTTGGAGAGAAAGCTTCAGCTTGGCCTGGGCCTGGGCCTGTTCATGGGCTTAGGGCTTTGGCTGGAGCTGTGGCTGGGGCCGGGGCTAGGCCTAGGGTTTAATCAGTAAGTTTGTCCAGGTTTTGAAAACCACGTATCGAAATCCAGCTAAGTTAAGGAATATTTCAGTAACCACAGGTTGTGATATCAACACAGAAAACACCCAGTAGGGTTAAGGGCCTGGGCCATGGACATGGATTTTGGGAGAAAGCTATAGCTGCATCTTGGCAGGTGCATGGGCTTAGAGCTGGGGCTGGGGCTGGGTTTCGGGCTGGGGCTCGGGCTGGCCCTGGGGCTGGGGCTAGTCCTGGTGTTTAATCAATTAGTTAGGCTAGGTGGTTAAACCAGGTATTGAAATCCAGCTAAGTTAAGGAATATTTCAGTAACCCTAGGTTGTGATATCAACAGGGAAAACACCTAGTAGGATTAAGGGCCTGGTCCAGGGACATGGAGTTTGACAGAAAGCTATAGCTGGGCTTGGGCCTGGGCATGGGCTTATTGCTCAGGCTGGGGCTAGGGCTGGGCCTGTAGCTGGAGCTAGGCCTGGGATTTAAACAGTAAGGTTGTCCAGGTTGTTAAAACCAGGTATCGAAATCCATCTATGTTAAGGAATATTTCAGTAACCCCAGGCTGTGATATCAACACGGAAAACACCCAGTAGGGTTAAAGGCCTGGGCCAGGGACATGGATTTGGCGACAAAGCTATAGCTGCATCTTGGCAGGGGCATGGGCTAGAGCTGGGGCTGGGGCTGGGGCTGGGGCTTGGGCTTGGGCTGGGGCTGGCACTGGGGCTGGGGCTAATCCTGGCGTTTAATCAGTTAGTTAGGCCAGGTTGTTAAACGAGGTATCGAAATCCAGCTAAGTTAAGGAATATTTCAGTAACCCCAGGTTGTGATATCAACAGGGAAAACACCCAGTAAGATTAAGGGCCTGTTCCAGGGACATAGAGTTTGACAGAAAGCTATAGCTGGGCTTGGGCCTGGGCATGGGCTTAGTGCTGGGGCTGGGGCTGGGGCTCAGGCTCGGGCTAGGTCTCGGGCTCAAGCTGGGGCTGGAGCTATGCCTGGGGTTTACTCAGTAAGTTTGTCTAGGTTTTGAAAACCAGGTATGTAAATCCAGCGAAGTTAAGGAATATTTCTGTAACCCCAGGTTGTGATATCAACAGGGAAAACTTCCGGTAGGATTAAGGGCCATGGCCAGAGACATGGAGTTTGGGAGAAAGCTACGGCTCGGTCTTGTCCTGGGCCTGGGTCTGGGCCTGGGTATGAGCTTAGGGCTGGGGCTGGTGCTGGGGTTGGGGCTAGGCCTTGGGCTATGCCTCCTGATGGAGCTGGGCCTGGGGTTTAATCACTAAGTTTGGCCAGGTTGTTAATAACAGGTATCTAAATCCAGTGAAGTTATGGAATATTTCAGTAACCCCAGGTTGTGTTATCAACAGGGAAAACACCCAGTAGGATTAAGGGCCTGGGCCAGGTACACTGAGTTCGGGAGAAATGTATAGCTGGACCTGGGCTGGGGCTAGGGCTAGGCCTGCGGCTGGGGCTTGGGCTGGGGCTTGGGCTTGGGCTGGGGCTGGGGCTGGGGCTGGGGCTGGGGCTGGGGCTGGGGTTGGGGCTAGGCCTGGATTTTAATCACTATGTTTGGCCAGGTTGTTAAAACCAGGTATCTAAATCCAGCTCAATAGAGGACTATTTCAGTAACCTCAAGTTCAGAAATCAACAGAGAAACCCAACAGGATTAACTGCCTGGGCCAGGGACATGGAGTCGGGGAGAAAGCTCTTGCTATGCATGGGCCTCCGCCTCTGTCTTGGCCTCCACATGGGCTTAGGGATGGGGCTGGGGCTGGGGCTGTGGTTCCAGAGTTAGGGGTAAAGCTGGAACTGGGGCTGAGGCTGGGACATTGAGTTGGGGATAAAGCTGGGCCTGGGCCATGGAGTTGGGATAAAGCTAGAGCTGGGGCTTGGCTTTGGGCTGGTACATAGAGTTGTGGGTAAAGCTGGGGCTGGGGCATCTTCCGGGGTCATGGAGTTTTGGGTAAATTTAGGATTGGGGCTTGGGCTGGAGCTCAGGCTGCGCCTGGGCCATTGTGTTTGGGGTTACCCTCGCTGGGGCTAGGGCGGGGCCATGGAGTTTGGTAAGCCCAGGCAGTGGCTTAAAGCCTGTTAGAGAAAACCAGAACGCTAAGGACAGTTGTGAAACCTACGTGTGGAGCCATGTGGGTCATGTATATCAGTAAGAGGTGGGAAAACTAGGTGACTGATACAGATTTTGAAGGCCGTGAAGTTAAGACCCACAGGGTTATATCAGCTGGAAATTGCAAATGGTGTCGGGCCAGGGCTGTAAAATGACGTGGGTAAGGCAACAAGGCACGGGCAGGAGAGCCATGTCAGGAGCGTCAGAAAGCAGGCGGCTAAATCTTATTGGGTAAAATCAGCTGAGTCTGATGGGAGATTGAGGCCAGCAAATTACATCCAGGTGAATAAGAACATGTGGAGAAAAGCAGGAAGTTATGGGCAGTCTGGTAAGTCCAATATTTTCCCCCAAAGTCATAAAGACTGGTTGAGTAGGGCAAGGAGGTGAATAAGGCCAGATGGGTAATGTGAAGTTCGTCATACCATCAGGTTAAAATAAGGTGATGAATGCAAACAGGTCAATAAGGTTGGCTGAGTTTGGCCAGGTTGTTAAAACCAGGTGTCTAAATCCAGCTAAGTTAAGGAATATTTCAGTAACCCCAGGTTGTGATATCAACAGGGATAACACCCAGTAGGGTTAAGGGCCTCGGCCAGGGACATGGAGTTGGGGAGAAACCTCCGGCTGTGGCTGGGGCTGTGGCTGTGTCTGGGCTTGGGCCCAGGTGGGGCTTGGGCTGGGGCTGGGACATGGAATTGGGGGTAAATCTGGGTTGGGGCTGGGGCTGGGCCATGCAGTAGGAGGTAAAGCCTGGGAATTGGGCTGGGGCTGAGGCTTGCTTTCGGCTGGAGGCTGGTGCTGGACCTGGGCCTGTGCCTGGGGCGTGGAGTTGGATCTAAAGCTTGGCCTGGGCCTGGCACATGGAGTTAGGGGTAAACCTAGGGCTGGGCTATGGAGCTAGAGGCAAAGCTGTGGATGGGACTGGAGTTGGGATATGGAATTGAGGGTAACGCTAAGGGTGAGACTGGGGCTGGGCCGGGACATGGAGTTGGGCATGAAGCTATGGGAAAAAGGCAGGGTGGTGTTGATACCAGGGGACAAAACCAATGGAGGTAAACCCAGTGGCCGTTAGATAAAACCCAGTGGCCTGTTAGATAAAACCAGAAGGCTAAGGACAGGTGTGAAAACTAGCTGTGAAGGGTTTATATATGATCCGTGAGGTGGGAAAACAAGGTGGCTAATATAAGTTTTTAAGGCCATGAGGTTAAGACCCACATGGTTATATCAGCTGGGAAAGGCGAATGGGGTCGGGCCACGGCTGTAAAATCAGGTGGGTAAGGCAACAAGGCAAGGGCAGAGGAGCAGTGGCAGGAACTTCATAAGGCAGGTGGGTAAATCATAGTGGGTAAAATCAGCTGAGTCTGATTAGATATTGAGGCCAGCAAATTACATCCAGGCGAGTAAGAACACGTGGACAAAGGCAGGAAGTTATGGCCAGTCCGTTAAAGGCCAGGAATTTTAGGCAAAATCATGAAGAGTGGGCGGAGTAGGTCAAGAAGGTGAATAAGGCCAGATGGATAATGTCAAGTTTGTCCTACCATGAGGATAAAATAAGGTGATGAATGTAAACAGATCAATAAGTTTGGCTGAGTTTGGCCAGGTTGTTAAAACCAGCTATCTAAATCCAGCTCAATAAAGGACTATTTCGGTAATCCCAGGCTGTGAAATAAACAGGGAAAACACCCATTAGGAATAAGGGGAAGTTGCCAGGCCAGTCAAATAATAACTGTAGGTAATTACTAGGTGGGTATGACTGGAGTGAAGGCTAGGAGGTGGAGGCCAGCCGAATAAAACAGGTGGTAAACACCAGTAGGATATGAAGCCAGCAGATTCAGTTATCCAGGCTGAGGCCAGGCATCTGAAGAGGGCAGGTGAGTATTGTTGATAAACATTAAGTTTATCCTGCCCCCATGGCTCCTTTGTGGAGGATACACAAAGTTTGTAATTAGTGGGAGGTGGGTAACAGCTGCCTACTTGGTATGTTCTTGCATTGTGTGGCTAATGGGAGTGTAAATATTTACAGGAGTGTAAATATAGGAAATAAGGCAGGGGAGTACACTTAGGGAGATACATCCAGGAGTAACTCCTGGTAGATAAAACCAGAAAGTTAAGGACATTTGTATCAACCAAGTGTCAAGGTCATGTGGATAGCCTATGGTCTTTAAGACTATACAGGAAAATCAGGTCACTATTACAAGTTGTTAGGCCATGAAGTTAAGGTCCTTAGGTTTAAGACAGATGAGGAAGGCTAATAGGGTCTGGCCAGGGCTGCAAGATGAACTGAGTAAGGTCAGGTGAGTATGCTAGGTGCATAAAGCCAAGAGACTCATAATGGGTGAATAAGGCCAGGAGGTTCATAAGATGGGTGAGTACATCTAACTTGGCAAACCCATGAGGTTAAGACCAGATCAGGAAGCCACATGACTGAAACGTCTGGCGGGGCTTACACCAGTAAGTTAATACCTTCCCAAATAGAGGTAGGTGGCCAAGAGGTAATGCCAAGAGGTTAATACTAGGCATACTAGGCCAGGAGGTTAAGGCCATGTGAGCTAGAATGAAAGGTTAAGGCCAGGTGTGACTGCCAGGTTGTTGGTCATCCAGGTTGTGAAGATCATGAGGTTAAGGCCACGTGGGTGATGCAAGATGTCTAAATATGGGGCTGGGGTGGGGGCATGGAGTTGCGGATAAAGTTAGGGAAAAGGGGCAGGGAGATGATAAAACCAAGGAAGAAAACCTAGGGAGGTAAATCCAGGGGCTTAAATCCTGTTAGATAAAATCAGAAGGCTAAGGACAGTTGTGAAAACCCAGTGTGGAGGCCATGTGAGTAATGTAGAATCAGTAAGAGTAGTTGGGAAAATTAGGTGGCTAATTCAGGCCATCAGGTTAAGGCTTTTAGGGTTAGGCCAGGTGGAGAAGGCTAACTGAATGTGTCCAGAATCTTATGAGGTGAATAAGATCAGGGAGCAAGGGCAGGGGAGCAATGACAGAAGCTTCATAAGGTCATAAGGCAGGTGGGTGTTGAAGGGAGATTGAGGCTGGCAAATTGCAACCAGGTGAGTAAGAACAGGTAGACATGGCAGGAAGTTATAGCCAGTTGGGGAAGGGCAGGATTTTTAGGCAAAGTCATGAAGACTGGGTGAGAAAGGCCAGGAGGTTAAGGCCAGATGGATAATGTCAACTCTTGGAACACATTCGGAGGATGAGAGGGGACTATTGTACCTGTGAGGGGATCAGCATCTCATCTTCAGCTTTCTCTACTCTCATGGGGATGCTCCTTTTCTCTGAACATTAGTCTGGGTAAGTATCTGTGAAGTTCTTAGTTCAGCACATGGCCATTTTTTCCAGTCAGTGCCCCTTGTCATCATCTACTGTAGTAACTTACCTGCATGGGAGTAACTTACCTGCACGCTGGACAAACAAAATAGTAGCTGTCAAAGGACAGCTCCTTCTTACTTGCTCAATGTCAAGGCCATGCCAGACCCCATGTCCCCGGCAGATCATTGCTCTCCATGACAACCCCATTTCATAACTCTGTAAGAGGGTCATTTTGCTACTGAATTTTTTTTCATCATGACAACTTACGAATGAAGGAACACTCTGTAAACTGCACATGGTCAGGGACTGCAGGTAGGAGGTGTTCCCTGCCTTGGGTAGGGAATTGGCTTTACTCATTGGTGGAGAAGGGTGGAGCCGAGGCTGCTCCTCATCCCTGTGGCAGCAGAACATGTAGAACATTCAGAAGACACCTCAGAAACAGGATCTGTTTACTGCCTAGTGCAATGGCTAAGGATGCAGCACACCCACACACAGGCCAGGCAGGAATACAGTTATGCCAGCTGTTGTACTCACGTTTATAAATCCCATTATGTTGTTGCTCACAGCAATCAGTCGAAGCCCTGGAAGGAGGTCCTACTACTGCCATCTTTTTTTAAAAAATGCACAAATGACCACAATTCTCATAACTCTGAAGTTGCATTCATTGCCCACACAACAGGTGCAAACACTTAAGAAAGAGACTGTGCAGAAAGAAGATGGTGCCCTACCTACCCTGCCTCCCACTGCTCCCCCTCCAGCTTCCCCTCCCAGCCTCTCAATACCCTGGCCACATGGCCCTGTGGTGACTGTACCTGTGTGCTCAGTTCAGGAGACCTTCTCTGGGGATCCACAGGCCCCCAAGGAGGGCACTGATGAGAAAATGTGTGAAGACAGTCCATTACTCTGGAAGGTCCCTGTGTGAAAGGAAAGGTGGAGTCAGCACACAGGTGGAAGGGCAGCCAGGTTGGGCACAAACCCAAAACACCTCAGTGCAGCCTGTGTAAGCCTCCCACTTCCACTTATCACTTCCATCTTGATGACTCTTGCACTTTCTAATTTACTGTATACTTTACTTATTCTTCATTGCCTATATCCCCCACTGAAGTATAAACTCTGTAAGGGCAGGAATTTTGCCAGGTAATAAAAGTGCTGAAGCAAATGCCCTTCAGTCTAGAATAAACAGGCCCAAGAGCATAGAGAGGTAGAGGCAAGTAGAGGGTGGAAGAATCTTCTCCTTAAAGGGCTGCTCCGTAAATAATTCAGGCCTGGCCGGGCGCGGTAGCTCAAGCCTGTAATCCCAGCACTTTGGGAGGCTGAGGCGGGTGGATCATGAGGTCAAGAGATCGAGACCATCCTGGTCAACATGGTGAAACCCCGTCTCTACTAAAAATACAAAAAAAAAAAAAAAAAAAATTAGCTGGGCATGGTGGCGCTTGCCTTTAATCCCAGCTACTCAGGAGGCTGAGGCAGGAGAATCACCTGAACCCAGAAGGCGGAGGTTGCGGTGAGCTGAGATCACGCCATTGCACTCCAGCCTGGGTAACAAGAGCGAAACTCCGTCTCAAAAAAAAAAAAAAAAAAAAAAAGAACAGCAGATGGGGGGATCTGGCCCCCAGGCAGTAGCTTCTGGGCTGACATGCAGGTGATGCTCCAGCACAGAAGTAATGGAAGAGGAGAGGTTTTATTAAGTATAAAAATGACACAAAAATCTGAAAATGAGGCCACAGAACAAGAACATTACAACCAATCTCATTTGTAGATACTCGTTACCAGGCACAATGAAAATACCTACTAATGGTGAACTGGAGACAAAGCCACACATGGACATGATAGAAATGTGCACATATTACTGTCCACATTGCCTCAGCAATGGACTTGATAAGGTTAACACCCATCTCAGCTCCATAACCAGCACCATCATTAGTCAAAGGGCAGAAGCACTGAGACAGGCAGGAATGCTGAAGCCACGTGGTGGCAGCTGCACCAGTTCCACAAGGGAACAGAAAGACAAAATTCACCACTCTTTGCCCCTATGAACATCAATAGAAAAAATATATCAATAGCTTTTCTGTACATGACCAATAATGTGGTAGATAAATCATTGTCGCAACAGCCATTCAAATGCAAAATATCCAGGAATAATTGTAATACTAAACAAGTATGCAAAGCCAAGATGAAAGCTACCTACCTTCACTGAGGGACACATTTAATGACTAGAAGAAACATATCCCATGTTATAAAGCAGAAAACAATAATACTGCAAATTAAAATGCATAATACACTTTTAATCAATACACAAGTTTAGGGTGTGATTTTAAGAAGCTGAGAAACAGATTTGAGGCATAAAGCAGAGAACACTAATATTACAAATTGAAATGCATAATACATGCACTTTTTATCAATACAAATTTTGGGTGTGATTTTAAGGAGCTGAGAAACAGATTTGGGGCTGGGCGCAGTGGCTTGTACCTGTAAACCCAGCACTTTGGGAGGCTGAGGTGGGCAGATCATTTGAGATCAGGAGTTTGAGAGCAGCCTGACCAACCCTGTCTCTACAAAAAATACAAAAACTAGCCAGGTGTGGTGCCGCACACCTGTAGTTCCAGCTACCTACTTGGGAGGCTAAGGCAGGCAAATCACGAAACCAAGGAGATGGAGGTGGCAGTAAGCTGAGATTGTGCCACTGCCCTCCAGCCTGGGCCACAGAGTGAGACTCCATGTCATATAAAGAAACAAA